GTGAGTCCATTTTAAAGATGAAGCCACTGCCGAAGGTCAAACCAAAAAGTGGCAAAGCAAGGACACAAAACTGGATCTTCTGCCTCCCAGGTCTGAACACGTTCCAATACATGTAAATTTTGAAAAGTATTATTATTGGCTCCAGCGTTGTTCGATGTACTCATTAGACACACCAGGAAGATGTGGAGGAAGCAATGAGGCAGGAAGTAGGAGAGAGGAGAGCTTTGGAGTTTTCCAAATAGTCCACCCTTTGCTATGATTATACCGCTGTCCTCTGTACTCATTCTTATCACAATGGATGGAGTTGCTTGTCCCTGTGAAAACTGTGGCTGCAAAACCAGTACATGACCTCAGCACCAGCATGGGTGCAGGCTGTTCTTGGCTGGTTAGCACTGAGTGACTGTTTTAGCAGCAGGATTGCTTTATGTGAAAAGCTGTATATCTTTCTTCAGAAACAGCCACTTGAGCTCTGATTAACAAACCCGCCACCAATTATCAGCCTCGAGGCTAATTTTGCTAACTTACTGATTTGATACACTTCTTGGGGCTTTACTTGGAAACTCCCCCCAGATTTCCTTTGGCCTACCTTCCAGCCGTTGTCCAGTTAGGCTGCTCGCTTTCATTTTTATCTCATTTTCTAGTCAAGTCAACTCAAGGATGGAAATGTCTTCACCAAGCTCCTGGCTCACAAACATAGGTGGGCCGGTAGCCTATTAATCACTGCTGTGCAGACCTTTAATTTAATTTAGGTCTTGAAACTAGATTCAAGTCATCAGCTATTCGCCCAGGGCAGAAATGCCTGGATATATAGCATCATAAATGAAGGCTAAGGAAAAAGGTCCTTCATCTTGAACATTTATGAAGATTATGCAGTGATTGTCACTGATGTGGACTTACATGGCCCCTTTGGAAAACCTCTTACCTATGCCCCACTTTATTCATTACTGAATAGGTATGATATAAATTTATTTATCTCATGAGCCTATCTTGTATTTGTAAAGTATTTTGAAACATTTATATGAAAATATTGACTATGCTATACGAATAAGAATTATTACTGTAAATTATAAGCATGAGGGAAGACTGTAACTCCAAGAACACTCAATTATTTCTCATACTAGTAAATATGAGAATATTTTAATCAATTAACCACTAAATATTTATGAATCAAAGCTTAATGTTAATTAATATTAAGTAAATATTAGTAAACATAGGAGATATAAAAATGTATTGGGTAGTCCTCTCAGTAAGTTTACAATCCAAATGAGGAGAAAAACATATAAAAATTAAATAACAATATGAGAGATGCCAAAAGACAATATATTAATTGCCACCTGAAATGCCATTAGCAGAGTAACTACTATAGGTAGAAGAAGGAGAGGGCATTTCCAGAAGCAGTGGGCACTGATGACCGTAAAACAGAAAAGGTATCAGCCAGATTTTGAAGGCTGAATCAATTGAGACAGAGACGGAGAGGGGATTCTTGGTGGAAGGAACTCAGTGAGAAAGAGTATAGATGCAAAAAAAAAAAAAAAAAAGGAACAAGAGTATAGATCCAAAGAAGGAAAAAGAATACAGAACTGCAAGACAGGGTGATATGTAGAGTTCTAGTACGAGATAGGGCTGGAAAGGCTATTTGGAACTGGACTGTGGAAGGCTTTGAATGCCAAGGTGAGGCATTAAGGTTTCTGAACAGAAAAGCATCTTGGTCAAAGCAGTGTCTTAGAAATACTAACTTGGCTATGGTATGCCAGATTCAATGCAGTGAGGAGCACCAGGGGCCAGGAGATCAGAGGACCCATGGCAAGTTGAGGTGTGATGGTAGTGGGAGGGGAAAGTAGAGGAGGGTCAGGAATCACCTCTTGAGGTGCTCAACAGCATTTGTTCTTGGTGCCCTCTGCTGCTTTCTAAACTATCGTCACATCTGTGGGTTCCGAAGAACAGTTTTGAGTGGGGAATCGTCAAATGGAGGAGTCATTCATTTTGCACTTGCAACATGTCATACCTGTATAAGTGGATATGTTTCGCCTTTTCTTCTTAATCTTGTATCCTTATCTAAGGACAAAAAAATGTTAGCTCAAAAACGTCAAAAAAAAAAAAGGTGCCATAAAATATACGAATTACAGGAGATCCGAGAACATTTTATTTTAAAAGAAAGTTAACTCTCGTTAAATAGGGACTATTCCAAAGATTTCCAACAGTACGACTGAAGGAAAGCCCCAAGAATCCCTGGGATCCCTTCACGCCTACAGCCCTATGTTAGAACTCTTATTAAAATAACCACCTAGGTTTGAATATTTATGATTTAATGTGTTTATTATCCAGATATCAGAGAAATTTGATGTATTTCTGAATGAGACGGAGAGTTTGGGGACAATTCAAATCTCATGCCAGAACACATGGTGCATTCATACACATGCATACAGATACAAATACACGTATGTATACAAATACATACATATTTATACATACGGTAAAGGTACTGGCATCCAGGCCTCTGCATGGAACCTCTACAAACAAGTTCTGGCCTTATCGTTCACAGAAATGCAAGCCCTTTGCCCTTCAGGGGCACTTACGGATGGCACAGACGATTCCAGAACACCACTTGAGAGAAAGATGGCGCCGGATAGAAAGCCACCTCCCCACATTCCCCACACGTCACCCCACACAGCGCAGCACTCAGAATCCCTTTCCCGGGCAGCATCAGACTCAACTCTTTCCAATCCCTTGGCTATTTTGAGACTGCCCCTTGAGAGAGCGAACAGAAAGGAGAGGAAGGGGAGACAGGTTTGCAGTGACTCTGGTAACTAAGGCTCACACTGAACTCAGGGTGCAGTCCCCCTTCCTCCGCTCTTTCTAGTCCCTCTCCTGTCCTTGCTCCACCTCCCCAAGTTGGCAGAACTAGGTTAACAAGTCCTGGGGCACGGGTGAATAAACAACTAAATCACCCACTCCCACTCCCTTGTAACACTTTGATTATCAAGTTTGGGCCTAAAGCAAATTTACATGTTTGCATTTCAGTAAGAGAAGGTGGTTAAAATGCTTGACTTTATAAAATGAATAGGCATTGCTTTTAGCTCTTGGGTAGCTACGGAAGTCAGTCTCTCTCTCTGCAAAGTAAGAAAGACACTAGAAAGATGTGTGAGCATTATATAACATTTTCATGCACCCTTACATGGGTAATTAGAAGCTGTTTACTTCTCACGGATTCAATTAAAGGCTTTGTATTTTCAAGTCCAGCTGAGAACCTTACCGCGGTGGAATTAGAGGAGGCGCTTTCAGTCCTGCTGCCGCCTCGGGTGTTCCTAGTGGCTATCCCGTGGTCAGTTTGCGCATATAATCCACCAACAACTAGGCTAATGACTCACTAATTTCAAACCAATTCATTTGCCAACTCAAAAACGACTGATGCAACTTTAAATGCTATGGGATTTTAATCCTCTTTAGTATTTACATATTTTCTTCTCTCATCTCTCCAAAACTAAGCCTAAAGCTTCGAGAATCTAGGAACTTGGGCAAAGGGGAAAACAATCAAGCAGATGAAGAAATCTGAAATCTCAGTTCATTACATCAACCAAAATTAACAGTGCCTTCCTGTTTGTATTGACCTAGCTCAAATTATAAAATCAGGTGAGGAATAAAACACAAAAGATAGGTGTTATCACTGAATGTGAAAAGTCCGAAATGTAATTAAACGTGTTCTTTCTTCGCGGCGGTGTCATTTACTCTGCGTTAACATTTGTGTTTCCTTAAGTCTCTGTCTTTATATTATCCACACACACTGTTGCATCATACTCACACATTCATTAGCTGGGACTGGGGAGTGTGTGTTTTTCCAACTGATCCTCAGCGTTAGCTGTCAGAGGCACAAACCTTTGCTTCCTTTATGCATCTACCGCGCCGGAACAACAGAAGCTCCTTGCAAAACAGTGCTCAGAGAGCTTTCCTGACAGATGCGCGGTTTGCTCTAGCAAGGCGCTCTGCTGGAAAGTTTCCTCTACCCACTAACACCCGCCTCCGATCAGCTCGATCCCCGGAGCTGGCAGGACGCAGCCTGGCTGGGTCCCCTCTTGACAGAGGATGGGTTTTACACACACTCTGCTAGGCTACCCCATCAGAGAATCAATCTGGCAGCCAAATTCCTCCAACCCCGGCGGACAGACTGTCCAAGGCACTCTGGCCCTTCGAGAACACCGAGGTCCCCTCTCCGCTAAAGGGACCACGCGCCTTGCTCCGCAGGGAATCTGCGCCCTGGGGATAGAGGGGATGCCTGGGGAGCGGGAGCGCAGGAGCGAGCTAAACGCCAGAGGCAGAAGGGGCGCAGGAGGGAGCGGAGTGCAGGAGAGAGTGGGGGCCGAAGGAGGGGGCGGGGACGCGAGTGGGAGCCGGGCGCAGTCGCGGGCCAAGGAGAACAGGGCGCTGGAACTAGCGGGCTCAGGAAGGGGCGCGCGCTCAGGAACCGTGGGTGCCGGGGAGGCGCTAGCTCGCCGACCGGTCCCGGACTCCCCAAGCAGCTGAACTGCCGGTGGGAGGGTGGTGCGGGGAGTTGGTGGGGAACTAGATAGGGGCGTGCCTTTTGCCGGGATTGGCTGCACGAGCCTGACGCGAGGCCCCGGGGGTTGGCTTGGGGGAGTGCGAGCGGGGTGGAGTGGGTGCTGGGTGCCGGGTCTGCGGGCTCAGCGCGCTCAGAAACATGCTGAGGTCCCGGCAGCTGTTCCAGCAGCAGCGGCGGCGGCGGCGGCGGCGACAGCGCTCGGCTCTGGCGGGGAAGGCGCCCGGCGCCCATGCCTCCGGC